TGTAAATGTGTTTAAATTCTTCATATTGTTCAATCTTTTAATCTTTGGTAGTGAATTGCACTGACTCTCTCGCGAGAAGTGAATTACAGTTTCAAGGCATGTGATTGGCTGCTCATTACTGATGTCACACTTTCATGTGCACGCTCAAGGATCAAGCCTGAGTTGACAGAGAAAGCTGATGATCAGCTTCATGGTACCAACAAAGCCAGATTGGAGTGGTTTGGTTTTGTCAACTCAAAACGAATCCTGTAACCCTGAGTTTGTTCAGCCACCATCATGGTACAGGCCCCTGCTCCTGACCAGGTTAGGTTCATAGAGTAAGTTACCACGGTAACTGACTCTGAGTATAAGTTACCTCTCTTTCAGAAACGGGCTTGACTTACCCTGCTTTCTCGGGTTTGACATACCTCCCATTCTGAAACGCATTTTCAGGGTTAACATACTCAGAGTTTTCACTTAACCTCCTTTCTGAAATGGGCCCCTGGTCTGTTTAGTTCTTCTGTGCCCTCGTTTAGTTCATTGATTCATTAGTGCTCATTAGTTAATTCCCATCACCTGTTTGTCATCAACTGCCTGCCTTATTTAAACTCACTCTTTGGTTCTAGTCTTTGTCCGGTGTTACGTTTGAATGTGTGTGTGTCGACGCCTCGTCTATGTGGATTACCTTTACTATTAAACTACTATTTTAGAGCCATACATAGCTTGAATAATGTAAAGATTGAGTGTTACATGACAAAGGTGTTAATTATCGGACCTAAAAACTCTGCATATAATAACCTAGAACTCTGGCAATTTGATAATACCTAGAATCAGAGGCGGACTTACCCATTAGGCAAAAGTAGGCGACCGCCTTGGGCCCTCAAAAGCCAAGGGCCCCCTAAAATGCTTTTCATATATGAGATGCGCATTAAGCGTGGACACGCGAACGGTTGCTGTTTACGGTGTTTATTACCACGACAACCGTCCAAGTTGAACGTGCTACTTGTGTATCCTGCTTGTAGAAAATTAAAATATCATGCATCTGAAGCTGTAATTAAATATTGAGCAGTGCGTATTATATGTTTATTGTTTTAAATGCTGCTTACTCGTTTATGAGAAGGACCCAGGTAGAGGACGCATACACGCAGCTACTTTTTAATCCTTAGGTGTGTAAATGAAATTTCCTTTTCATTATTTTTTCAGTTTCATTTAAATTTTAAATTAAAATAAAAAATAAAAATAAATGTATTTTAAAGTTTAGAATTAGATAGTCTTTGGAGAGTGTATGAGACCAGGCACACAGGCTTACGCTGGTAACTCATCAGTGGACTTTCCTCGTCAATATAGGCTATATTTTTCACACTTTTCTCATTTTCACTATTTCAAGTTTTTATATGAATCAATCTCTGAAGGGAACCGACTGTCTTCAGAAAAGTTTCGTATCGTTTATGAGCGGAGCGCTGCTTTGTTTACAGCCGTTACCGGGGAAACCGCTATATTTCTGACGTCCCAAAAGCGCCTCCTGCTGGCAGAGAATGAATGTGCATTTTCAATAATTCAGTCTATAGTTTTTGTTCAGATCAATGTGAAAATCCACCCACATAACCCCGTTTTAAATTAATATAATAATTTATACTTCTGACTCATCCCTTTTCTTAAAAAAAAAAGGTTTAAAGGCTCCATTGTGAGGTTTATTATTTTATAATTTATTTTGTTTTTGTGAAAAACCTGTATCTCAACTGTTTCTTCGTCCCCAACATGAAAGAAAGCCATTATACACTGGACACAACTATAGGGCACCATTGTGCAGCAGCAAGCATCACAACAAAAAAGGATCCTCAAGGTTGATCCAGGTAAATGTGTGTAAATGTATAGAGCCCCATTCCTATATTTTGCCTGGGGCCCCCAATTCACTAAATCCGCCCCTGCCTA